AGACATGACGACGCAGAGCCAAATGAGATGAGGGAACGACGAACGAGAATTCAAAGGTGTGGGGGTGCATATGCATTCCACATGCATTGCGACGAGGTCGCAAGACTGTCCTTCATAATCGTGGACACGACGAACTTGCCACGTAAGAAGTCGCCGATGGGGTGGCATGTCGCACTGCCCGTGGCCTGAAGCTTCAACTTCACGCCAGTCGCAGCGTCGATGGAGATCAGCTCGTAAATGTTCTCACCCAAGGTGTCGCTCGCCAAGGCGACTTTGGCGCCAACCTCAAACCCCTTGTCACTGAGCTTGTCCACTTGGTTTGACCACTTGCCCGAAGCGGTGTGCTCTTTCGCATCTGAGCTACGCGCCTGCCCTGTCACGGCTTTGGATGCGCCCTCGCGACCGATCTGCTTCCATGGGCTAGCAACTGCTTTGCCAACGTGCGTTGCCAACGCAGTGGTGAAGCTGACCCCGATGTCATTCAGCGTCTTGCAAGTGCCTAAGCGCTCATCGGGCTTGTTGAACACGAAATGAACTACGCGAACGTCAGTCAATCCCACGATGGTGCCGTAGGCGACCGTGTCTGCCGTGATGCCCTCACCGCATGCGATCTGTCGCACTTTCTGAAGAAATTCATCGGCCACCATTACAATCGTAGACTTCTTATCGCTCGACAAGGCGGTCACGTCGCCTGGCTTCAAAAGCATCCGATGGCCATCCCTCGCGGACTTACCCGTCGCACATGTCATCGCCTTCATGCGTGCGAGCTTGAATGTCGCAGCGGCCCCCTCATGCTTGATCTGCACCTCGGCGAGAGACTTCGCCATTGAACCCGTGACCACGCACTGGGAGGTCAGCTGCCGCGAGAAGTCGCGAAGCTCGTTCAGAAAGATCGGGTTGCCGAGGCCGCCAGACAACTCCTTCACATATTTTACTAAGCCGTCGATCTCCCCAGGAAAGAGAGAGCCTGCGCGAGTCGCCTCGCGGATCACACTATCCCAATCGATCATTGTGCCACCCGTGTGGTGTCGGTTGGCAATTGCTGCGATCTTGTACATGAGACTCATGCGAGATTCGCATCTGGCAATTTGTTGGCCTGCATTGCCAGCCTCCCGAGCAAGATTACTAATCCACGGGAACTCCTTCACGAACTCGTACCGAAAGACCTTCCACTCAATTCCTTCGTCACACGCCTTAGCGTAGTCTGGTTGAACCTCCCGTAACCTCGTCAGTGACAATTTCCCTTGGTGCGAGATTCTGTCGAAACGCTCTGGCATGACCGTGGGTGCTGGAACCCCTGCGTTGATGCAGCGCAAACCCATGGATGTGTGGCCGCACGTATAGGATGCGAACTTTGCATCGCAATCATACTGCGGCAGCTGGCCCGCTGAGTCCTCCATAATTTTGAAATTGAAGTTCTTGGTTGTATTGTACTCAGGCGTGCCCACTGGTGGAAGTTCCATGAAAGCTGGATTCTGGAGGGCTGAGTTCTTGAATCCATTTTTGAAGATATTGGACATCAAATCCATAACCTCGCTCGGAATGATCCCATCTCCGTAACGATTCTCTGTGCACACCATCATATACTTCGAGTGTATTTTTTCTACCCTCAGGCAGTCTATGCCTCTTGCAATGCTGCATACGTCTTCAAGTAATGAGACCACCGCTGCATCAGGATGCAAGTACATGTCCTTGATGGCCATCATCTTGGGGCGGACCTCCGCGATCTGCTGTTCACGGGAGGCGTTCATCACGCCGCGTGCAGGAGGACGCCACAAGCGCCAGCAGCAATCCTCGCCCAAACGGCTGGAGCCCAAACTCTAGTGACATTCAAAAACATGTGCAACAGAGGGTTGCGAATTCGAAATGATATGTTGCATTTGCAATGCACAACATTCTTGTAACGCTCGATACAATATTCTGAATGCGTTCGCACGCAAGTCTGGATCATGATTTCCGATATGCGTGATCCCGAAAATCCAAACACATGCATGCGTTTCTGGATGCAACATCCAAGGAAAACCCGATGCAGCAGCTCTGTTTTCACGTAAGCATGTAAAAGTTAGCGAAGTTAGCAACTTCGCTAACTCAATCTATCTACCTCCAAATGCACCGCCCGAGTTAGCCGACTTAGTAACATTACTAATGGTTATAACTTACTTGCAACCTAGTTGCAACTTACTTATAACCTACTTACATGTGCTGCTAACAATTAGTAAGGCCGAGGGCCTTCAGGCAGAGCGGCCTCCGGCACCGTTTCCGGACAGATCCGGTGGATCCGCTGGATCCGCTGGATCCGGTGACGAATCCCAAACCGGCGCCCTCGCTTGAGACATCCTCACAAAACCGGCCCCCGGGGAGGTGCCCAGAGCCCAGAGCGGCCTCCGGCACCGTTTCCGGACAGATCCGGTGGATCCGCTGGATCCGCTGGATCCGGTGACGAATCCCAAACCGGCGCCCTCGCTTTTTGAGGACAGCCTCACACAAACCGGCCCCGGGGGGAGGTTGCCAGAAGGAGGAGCGCACACAGAGCGGCCTCCGGCGCACCGTTTCCGGACAGACCGGTGGAATCCGCGGGATCCGCTGGATCCGTTTTGACGAATCCCAAAACAGAGCCGCCCTCCCGATGGAGCTGCGCTTCGCCGCCGTTCCCCACCGCCGTTGTTCCGATCTCACAAAAACCGGCCCCCCCGGGGGGGCCTCTGGCAACAATAAGCCCAGAGGCGGCCTCCGGCACCGTTCGGACAGATCCGATGGAATCAACTGGATCCGGCTGGAATCCGGTGACGAACTCCCAAAAACCGGCGCCCTCGCTTGAGGGATATTCCCCCACAAAACCAAAACCGGCCCCGGGGGAGGAGCCCAGAGGAGCCCAGAGCGGCCTCCGGCACCGTTTCCTGACAGATCCGGTGGATCCGCTGGATCCGGTGACGAATCCCAAACCGGCGCCCTCGCTTGAGACATCCTCACAAAACCGGCCCCAGGGGAGGTGCCCAGAGGAGCCCAGAGCGGCATCCGGCACCGTTTCCGGACAGATCCGGACAGATCCGGTGGATCCGCGCCCCGGGGGAGGTGCCCAGAGGAGGAATGAGGAGGAGGAGGAGGAGGAGGAGGAGGAGGAGGAGGAGGAGGAGGAGGAGGAGGAGGAGGAGGAGAAGAAGATGGAGCTGCGGGGTGGAGGAGGACAGACGGAGGCAAGAGAAGGATGGAGGAGGAGGAGGAGGAGGAGGAGGAGGAGGAGGAGGAGGAGGAGGAGGAACCTCATCACCCTCGCCAACAAGCGCACGCACCTTCTTCTATATACAGAAACTCCCGATCAACCGCAGAGCGGCCGGCTAGTACCATTAGAACCGGGGAGGTATCATGGCCCTGGCCATAGTTCCCCCCCTCGTCATCACCCCCCTCCTGGCCTCCCCGAGGCGCCCGCGTGGCCCAGACCACCGGGGCTCTGGACGGAGCTGTCGCCGCGCGCTGGGGCTGCGGGGGCCGCCCACACGAGCGACGAACGCGTCGAACGGGATCCTATACAGAGCCTACACGGCTTGTGCGGGACCCTATACAGAGCCTGCACGGCCTGTGTGGGACCCTATACAGAGCCTGCACGGCTTGTGTGGGATCCTAAACAGAGCCTGCACGACCTGTGTGGGATCCTACACAGAGCCTGCACGGCCTGCACGGGATCTATAGAGAGCCTACACGACCTGTATGGGATCCGATACAGGGCCTACAAGCCCTGCACGGGATCCTACACAGAGCCTACAGGGCCTGCATGGGATCCTATACACAGAGCCTGCACGCCCTGTATGGGATCCTACACAGAGCCTGCACGCCCTGTATGGGATCCTACACAGAGCCTGCAGGGTCTGTATGGGATCCTATACGCAGCCTGCACGCCCTGAGTGGCACACCGCGTGGCAAGCAGGGCGCTCACGCGCGACCCCTGCGCGGAAAGCTTGCGCGCGAGTGTCCGCGCAGTCGACCCCGCCTCCCTCCGTCGCTCACATGGCGGGCCCATGCGAGTTCTGGAGGAGGAGGAGGAGGAGGAGCAGGAGGAGGAGGAGGAGGAGGAAGAGGAGGAGGAGGAGGAGGAGGAGGCCCCAGATCCCGTCCCCCTCCAGAAGAATGCCCCTCTTGGGGGCGACCTGCATATTTCCGCCAGCTCCAGCCGGTTTCACGCCCGCGTCCGCCAGCAGAGGCGCCCTCGTGTGACTTCCGCCGGCTTCCGCCAGCCGTCCCCGCCGGCTTCCGCCGAGGAAGGGGTATCAAAAGTTCTTACTCCTGGAAGGAACGCCCCAAGTCCACCCTCAGAATGAGCACCCCCACAAGCGAGGCCCTCTAGAAAACACACATAATCCAGGAAGAAACCGAAGAAGGGCAAGACTGTCCAGTAAACGCCGAATACGTTTCGTTGAACGCTTGTTGTGGGGGTGGGGGAGGTTTCCGAACAGAGGTTACGCCCACGAGGTTCCGACCCTGATTAACGTCCCGCCAATGGGGTTCCGACCTTTATTTGCCACTGCCTGTCGGTTTTGTCCCTGCTGCATCCGAGCGCCCATCGGATCCCACTGGTAAGTATATCGGGCTCCGGGCCTCGATTGTACTGTCAGCCCCCCATTGGACTGTTTGGGGCCCACGCATCTGCCCATCTTAACCCAACAGCGACTCGCATGACTGATATGTGCTGCCCAAGAGGAAACACTATTACGTCAATACTGCTGTTTGAACACATCTCTAGCCCCCAAAGCCCACCCGCTCCTTGAAACCTTTCAACAGCATGGTCGACTTCAAACCCCAGAGAATCAAACCACGAGCGCCAGACCCAGGCGTTCCCACTATGGAGATGTCGACGATAAGAGGAAAGGCCAGTCTCTTGAACTGGAGCCTGGATGCTGCACGCGCACAGAAGGGTCAGCACAGCGACGGATCGGTACAGGCTGAGTAAAACCTCTCCCCAGTGTAGAGCCACACCCTGTGCGGGCGCTGGTTCCGAGCCCCCTGAG